GAGGGAGGCTTCGCGCCTGGGTTTCGCGGGGAGAAGTGGGAGGGGGAGAAGAAGAAAGGGTCGTCTGACGGGGAGTCGAGTGAGGAGCCTTGGGGGCTGTCCGTCTGGTGGGGTACACGGTGTGCTTTGGGTCCTGGACCCACCTACACGCGTTGTGCGAGACAAGCTTTCCGTGACGGGCATCCCGAGTGAGAAGTCCCCCTCCTTTTTTCGTCTCCTTCGAATATGAGGGGAGGGGGCTGTGGCGAGGACCTGGCCGGCCGCTCGGTCTGGCTCTTCGTCACCTTCTAGCTCACCTGCCCGGGGGCTTCCCGGGGGCAGTTCCGAGACAAAGCCGCTTCCAGAACTGCAGTACCTGCCGGTGCGATTTTTTGGGGGGGCGGGGGCAAGAGGAGAAGGGACAAGTCCCCTCTTTTGGGGGAGATTCTGGCCTGAGGGACCTCCCTCGGGAAAGGGGGCGCTTGGTGCCCTTCGCCTTCCCACCCATGAGAAACACGCGCGCCGAGGAGCGGTGGGTCCCCGGAGGCTGAGGGAACGGCGGCGGCCACCGGCAGCAGCCAGTGTGGCGTGGAGAAGTGCCCGTGGGCACGAGCGAGGGTGGCCAGCGGGGGCTGCGCGGGGCGAACGGGCATCATGGCTCTGCTTCTTCTGCTGTGACGGCGAGAGTGGGTCGTCGTTGTCTTTCTCCCCATCCCACTGACTGATGTAATGAATTCCGCGTGAAATGACTGCTGGCAGGTGACCACGGGTCGGGGAGTTCATATTGTACGGATCCTGAGTGAACACCCTCCCATCCCCTCGCGCCACACTCCTCTCTCTCTCTCCAGCCCCCCTTTCTGATCTGGTTCTGTGTACTGCAGATATTCCGCCAACCAGCATAGCTCAGCCTAAAAGCTGCAACAGTATCTCTTCTTCTGGCAATTAAGCGGTGGAGGGGCACGGCGGCGGGGGAGTGGAGAGACATTTAGTTCCTCTCTCTCTCTCTCTCTCTCTCTCTCGTCTCACCCTGCAATCCTATGCATACCTATTTAGAAGTACAGTAAGTTTCGCTGACTCCAGTCAGACTTACTTTCAAAACAGTAGATTTAGGGTTGCCGCCATAGTGACACGGCAGTAGTGCCTCGTTTTAAACCGGGGACATTTTAATTTGCTGTAGGGTTGCTTCCCTAAATTTGTTCGAGTATTATGATTGTAGTCTTTGCTGATTCTGGAGTGTCTCTAGGTAATACGCATTCTGACTAAAATGCCTCAACGGATTCATATGGACACTACCCAGTCAAAGTTTTGCAAATAAATGTGTTGGCGTGTATACAAATGAAATTATGTAGTTTTGGAAATAGTATGCTTCCATTCTGGATGTTTACAGGCACTGGGCATTGAGTAATGTTGCACTGGTTTTGTTTTTATACAGTAGGATCTCTACGCAAAACAGGTTAGCAGAAAGAGTGGGTGAAATTACATCAGAAAAGAACACTAGTCTTTTTTTAAAATTAGATTATGTTCTTAGAATTTCCCAGTAACTGGACATTCTGATTTTTGGACTTTTCTTGTCTGGTTGTTTTCTGCATGAGACATGTTTCTCCTACCTGGGCCATAAATACTTGTCTGTGCTTCAAAACATCCATTATTGATTAGGGTACGGGAGTTATGCAATGCTGACAGAACAAATGTAAAACTGGAAACTTTTTGCAACTCTATTGTATCTCCACTTGAGATGCTTTCTGAGACCATTGTTACTTAGTGGGAAAAATATATGTAGGTGAAGTATTCTCCTTACCTAGTGTTCTTATCAGCCAAAATATGCTGGAAGGCTTATGTAATTAGAGACTTACTGCAGGTTTAAATATACCCAAAGATCGTGAGGTGGTGTTATCTGAATACTTGATAAGAAATAAGTGGTAACATGCATGCTAATGTCCATGGACATATAAAGTAATGTTCTAGCCACAGCACTTGACAGCAAAAGCGCATTATGTAAAACCGCTCTTCTGGTTGTGTGTGTTTGTGCTGGAAGTTAAGATCTGGAAATCCCAGTAGGGGATTATCTTTTTAAAATCCTCAGAATGTTTCACTAGTAACATTAATGACCTTGAAGGGAACAAATTACTGTATAAGCAACAGGAAGATTTTGATGTACGATTTTCACAGGCCTGAGTAAAAAGCCACCCTACAAAAAAAATGGAGGACTCCTGTTTATTGGTTGCTTCACTGTTTAAATCCTAATATTATTTGCTTATGTCTAGCTATACAACAAAAAATTGCATATAAATATATTGTAATAGTATTTTAAAAATAATACAGAGCCAAACACTGCAGTGGCACAGATACATCTGCCTCTGTTGTGGATCCTGTTGTATAATAATAATGTTTAAAAAATGGATAATATCCACTTCAGACACGCTTTTTTATAACTTCCAGACTACATAAGGTTAATAATTCTGTTTCAGTCCCACATCTCATAGGGATCCACTTTGTAGCTGCAAATTGCTTACCATCTTTATTTTTAAACATTACTTTCATATTTTTGAGAACTTTTCCCTCTCAGAATTGCAAAAATCAATCATAGTTTTAAAGTACATAGCATGCTAAGAAATATTCTTAGGGTAGTTCATTATGATCTGTACCTTTATATAGGCAAAAGACAAACATTATAGTTATTGCTTGAGTGTTGGAACATGTCACTTACAGTGTTCCTATTGCAGTTCCCTATGTGTACACATTCTCAAATGCATCAGCAAGAGGTTAATTTAAAGTGAGATAATTTTATCTGCTCTTTTGATTTCATTTTCTGCTTTTCAGCCTCAGTAGAACTGAATATAATGTAGATAATGTTTTTAGTTTGCTGTGTGATACAGGTCACATGAATTACCTAAGATGAAATATAGTAAGATGTAATTTGCAAATGCATATGTCAGAACTGAAAATGACAGTATTCCATCAGTAAGTTTAAATTTAATTTAAGAATAAGTAAGCACCATTCATTCTATTATCACAAAAGTTCACATGAGAAATACATCCTTTCAGCATTGTTGTGCAAGAATAGAAAGCTTACAGAATGGACTTTTCTATTTTGAAGTTGTTTTCACTAATGCCTACTGAATATATAGTATCTTGCAAAATATCCAAATGCCCTGGATGTACTACTAAAAATTAAAACTACTATGAATACTTCTTATTTACACCCTCATTTTATATTTCATTTTTTTCTCCAGTTGTGTGAGTAGGTCTTAGGGAAATGCTAGACTATGGCCAATATCCTATTCAGTTGCTGCTGAAAAAAGTTCTGCTAGTGTAGTAACATGAGATTGTAGGTGTCACAACTGGACAAGCAGTGATTTCTTGGAAGAAATCCCATCTTCTCCTTGCATAGTGGTAATACTTGTGAACGTAGCATGATTCCACATAATTACATTGTCAGGATTTTCTGCTCAATGGAAGCTGAGGATGCTGGCCTATACATTTAACATACTGTATTTCAAAGATAATGCTTGCTCAAGTGGTGAAATAAGTCTCTTCCTCATAGCCCATGATTTTTCCCACTTACTTATCTTGTGTTTAGTGTGGTTTGTTTTATGATTGGTCATTGGAAGAAAAGCACAAACTTATTTTGCAAGTCAGATTGCTGAGGCATCTGTCTCTGAGGATATTTGGAAGGGAAAATAAATACATTGCTAGGAATATGCATTTCCTTAAAAGGTTGAACTAGACATTATGATCCACTGAGATTTGTAGCCCACCTACAACAAACAAACAAACAAATATTTTGGACATTATAGCATATTTTCCCTTTGCAGGGGGAAGTATAGAGAAGTAAAATTTGTTGGAAGAAATGGGATAGTTTACTCAAATATAACGTTACAGTATTAAGAATGTTTTTCTGTTGTTTTCTATTCATGTTGTTGTTTAGTTTTACCTTGTTCAGTATGCTTTAGGTGACTGTAGGAAATTTTCTTTTCTTCACATTTCTTAAAATTGAAGAAATACACTTCAACTCTTGCATGTATTCTGTCCTTTTTAAACTTCCTTTTGAAATCTCAAGGCATAGTCTGGGCTTCTGTATTTATATCATGCCACTTCTCCTATTTCATTTCATCCTGTTTCCATTCATCAATAAGAATATTACTGAAAATGTTAAGGCAGTAGTGAGGGACATGTCTGACTTTCTAAAACTTGCTGAACAGCAACTTTCATCAGACCTAGACATCAAGGTACAGAATTATGGAATCTGCAGTCCAGCCCAGCAGTATTTGAAAAGCTACCTGGTCCTCTCCTTGCTTTAACAGTTTATTTATTTATTTATTTATTTATTTATTTATTGGACTTATATACCGCCCCATAGCGCTACAAGCACTCTCCGGGCGGTTTACAATTTAATTATACAGGCTACACAGTTGCATAGACATCAAGGTACAGAATTATGGAATCTGCAGTCCAGCCCAGCAGTATTTGAAAAGCTACCTGGTCCCTTCCTTGCTTTAACAGTTGCATCCAGCTGTGGCAGTTTGCCATTCCATTGGCAACACTGATCTCATCTTCTCCCTGTAGCCTTCTGTAAGCTCCCAGGTCTGTTCCTGGGATCCCGGATTTCAAGGAGAGTAGATGAAGAAGAATTCCCACTGCATCAGCAGGATCAATTTGTGCAATGCGGTGTTAAGTGTGTTCTGGGTCCAATTCAGACATAGGGAAAAGACCCATGAGTTTAGTACCATTTTTCTCTCTAGTCATCTATAGCACTGCCTTTGCTTGGGGTCAATTGGTTTCAATGAGTGCCTTGTCAGTGCTATAGTCCTTTATTTGCTTGGGGTCAATTGGTTTCAATGAGTTCAATGGGATTTACTTCTGAGCAGAGGATTACACTGCCATTTGGAATTATGTTCTATACCT